GTATGCTAGAAAAATGACAAAAACACATTTTATTATTTTTATTATATAATAATGTTTTAAATATTTTGTAGATTTCTCTCTTACTAGGATTTCAGAACTGATGTTTGGAGCATCAGTACCAGAAAAGCCTATAATTAATATTAAAGTTATAGAAAAAACTGGTAGAAGAAATCTACCTATTTTGCAAGAAGAGGAAACGTTTAGAATTTTTGGTAAGTATGTTTGTAAAATTATTTTACAACGATATGATTCTATATTTTATTTTATAGAAAACCCTGATTTGGTAAAACCAGTAGTGACTATCGTAGATGGAAAGAAACTAACAACAGAATTTGTTTTACTCGAACTAGCAGCTATTGAAAGGAAAGTTAATGCAGAGATTGAATCAGAAAGTTGTACACCGATAATCAACAAGGTATTTAAAAAAAATATATGAGTTAATTTAATAGGATCTTATTAGGTATGTGTAAAGGTTTTAGTCTTTTGATTATATGAAAATAAAATAGAAATTTGTGAAGAAAAAATAAAACAAATTTAATTTACATATATTTAATATTACTCTATAAGTTTTACATGTACCTAGTATCACCTTGCAATCTTTGTACACACTTAATACTACTCTATGAATTTTGCACACATTTAATACTATTTTGCAAGTTTTAACGACAAATGTATTAATATATTATATGAGTAGAAATTAATCGCAAGAAAAAAAAGTACAAAGTTTACATACACGTTTATATTTTTTAGCTAGTCTTGACCACGAGGGAATTAATGCTGAATGTTATAATGGTTCTACAAACGATTTTCGATGCCATGAAAAATGATGACATTCGGGACATGAATGATTTATATTTTTCTAAAATTTATAAAGATCACAATATTTGCATCAAGTCCGAATGTGAGGCAGATGCTTGGCATAAAGGAGAGCGTGGTATTGAGGCAAGAAGATTACTAGGTGCACTTTCGCATATCAGCTGGGAATCATCATATTTGAGCAGTTATTTGGCAGGAAAGTCCCCATTACACACGCGTAATGATGAATGTTACAATCGTTACTTACCACAAATGATACATTATAACGCATGGCCAAAGAAAAACCATGATTTCGAAATGCTTGAAATAATAAAGGAATGTGTCACTTTAATAGGGCTTGTTGTGAGTATATCTTGTTTTATTTTTTCATGCTGCGTGCATTAGTTGTTGATATTTTGTACTATAATTGATGTAATATTTATATTTACAGAGAAGATCTCATCAGTTTACAGGTCTTATAAGAGCTATTATGAAAGTATTGTGTAATGTACAAGAGAAAGTGGGTTACTGTGAAAAAGGGTATATCAATATTACTGTCGTAATCAGTTATAAATTTTATGACTTGAATGCGTATAAATCTTATGTAATAATGTAACATATTTTTTAGGTTGGAATATGTTTGCCTAATATTCAAAGAACTGGTTTTCTCGAGACCACTGTCTCTTTGTTATGCACTATTAACTCATTTCGTAATGGTTTTTAGTAAATGCGTTGTATTCATTCCAAAACTCTGTAGGGGTTCACGTAAGTATAAACTATGTATGAGAAAAGAAGTTTTTTTAGTACTAATTATTGTTATTTTAACAGAATCAATAGCAATAAAGAACTGGAAAGGATTTTTACATTTTACACCAGGTATGTTCCGAAATTTTGAAATAATATTTTTAATTCTATTCTATATATTTATAATTTCAGTATACTTTTAAATGTAGGAATAACATGAATGTACATATGCAAAAGAAGTAAATCTAATGATAAACATATTCTATATTACAGATGCTTGTGTTTTACAAATTCTTATAATCCAAATGGAACATTTTCATCCGGACTTTCTCACTACTTTAAATATGACACATGCGTTAATATCTTCTATACGATATATACTACAGAACAATAATCTATTGAGAGCCGAAAGTTTAGAATCGTGCAACTGTTATAAGAAACTATTGCAATTTACAATTAATATGCTGGGAAAATGCTGTGAAACCAGATCAATTGTAATTGATAACGTCAAGTGGCAAAATTCGCTTTACATTTCCAAGTGTTATGCTTTGAAAAAAATTAATTATAAAGATTATGTATGTCAATTAAAATATAATGTACCAAATACGGAAAAATATTCAGTAGAAACATACCCGGAGAAGTTAGATCAGAATTTTTGGTATAGCGTCAGGAAAACCCAACACCAAGTGTTGAGAGAAGGCATCAGATTTTTATGTCATCTCATGATTTGCGATCCCTACTTTGTTACTCAATCACCTGACATTGAAGATTCGTTTCATTTATTTATAAGAAATATTACTTTCTTCAACGATTTAATACTTCATGAGAACGAACGTAAGTATCATAATGCGTTATATAATTATCTTATGCAAATAACGATATATAATTGATATCGATATTTTAGGAGAAACATTGGAACGAATAAAATCTACATATATTGTTGATAAAGGTATACAAAATGAGATCGAAGCGCAACATAAAAATACATGTGTCACTCAGTTGAGTATGGCCAATTTTAAAAAAAAAGTTATTCCTGCAGTAAGAAATTATTCTGGAATGACAGAGAATTTTGATAGAATACACATGGCTATTAAAGCGTTATATAATTTTAAAGTAGAATTTAAGGATAATTAAATGTATCACATTCTGGAGATTTGTTTCTTAATGTTTATATGTACAATTCTTTGTAAACTTTTTGTGAGGTATAAAGAAAAAAAATATATAAAGACAAGAAATCGTATAATTCATATTCAATGTCATAATTCATTAGCCATTGTTTTATTGCCAAAGAACGCATTTCTTTCCTGGATTCATTTCCTTTCCTACTGGGCAATTATATACTGCAGAGAATTCATTCAAGTTGGAAAAACTGCCGTGTATTCGTATTTCTGATCTTGGATGTTCGTCCAAGAGGAGCAATTTTATCTTTTCTGGTGTGACATTTTCACAAAACGTCTAAAAAAATCAAATTTACGGTTATCTCGATATTTTAAATATATCGTTGTTGACTCCACATTGAACATATTTATTACATTATTTTATAGCGTTGTGTTTTGTTATACACAGTGCACGGCATTTATAAAAAATATTTGATCATTACTGTATTCCTCGAAATATGGCAATCGCATTTCAGGTTCATTCAGCTTTACTTTTCTATTAGCCTATAGGCGTTAGCAATGCCGCAACGCTGCAGCAATGCCAGCAGAATGTTATCAATGTTCTTTCTCAGCGATAATCTGCCATTTACATGTAAAATACAAATGGATTCAAAAATATTCAGAAAATATGATAATTTGTCATCAATTTTTGATCATTAATAACGTCATTGATCATCAATACATAAGTGGAATCAATACATCAATGGAACATAATCGTAAATTTGTTCACGTTGCATAAATTATTGACATTTTGCACCTAATGCCCGTTGCACACTGGACGCAATGAACGACATCTAATGAGGGCTCTTCTTTCTTAGAGAGAGACCAATGTACAATGGGTGTTAAATGTAAAAGTGTCAAAAGTGCAAGCAACGCGAACAGACCTGACGTTGAAATGATATATAGCGTGAATCAAAATGAGCAATTTTTTATCCTATAGCCGACCGCACGAAACGGTGATATATGCTACAAGATAAGTTATATGATACAAGCGACGTGATACATACTTGTATCAACGTTAAACCTAACCTCGATTCCAAGTGAAATGTATTTTTATTTTCACCTGCGTAAATTTATTTCAGTTTGAGACGATACTGTGAATGAAAAAGAAAATCTTTGAAAAGGTGTATTAAATCTGATTAAAATTATGAGTGAACATAATTATTATCAAAATAATAAATCATCTCACAATAGTGAAAATGATGATGAGTTTCTTGACCAAAGTATTAATGATGATGACTTTGACATGGTTTTATTAACTCTTATAAAACAATACCCATGTATATATGATCCAAACAAGTTAAATCAAGAAAAAATTTAATTACTTAAACGACTTGTTACTACATTACCAAGATCCTCATTCTCTTTATTCCTTTGAATTAATGAACTTGCCTTGTTTGATTCATTTCCAAAATCTTGCTTTGAATGCGTTGGTCTAGAAGATGTTACATTCTGTGAACTTCTTTCTAACACGGTTGGTATTTT